TCCCTCTCTCTCTCTCTCTCTCTCTCTCTCTCTCTCTCTCTCTCTCTCTCTCTCTCTCTCTCTCTCTCTCTCTCTCTCTCTCTCTCTCTCTCTCTCTCTCTCTCTCCCTCTTCCTCTCTCTCTCATTTTCCTTCTTCTCCTTCCTCCTTTTTTCCATCTTTTATCCCATTCCACCTTTTCATTCTATCCTCTTTGATTCCCGTAGCTAGGTGGCCATTTTTTTCTCATCCTTTCACCTTCCACCCTTCCTTCCTTCCTTCCTCTCTTCTCTCCTCCTTCAGCCAATCCATCCTTCCTTTCCTCCTTCCTTCCTTCTTTACACTTTTCACTCTATTCCATCCTTCCTTCCTCCTTCTTTCGCCATATTTCGAATTATTTCAGTTTTTTCTTCCGGTCCATTCATTCTTTTTTTTCTTTCCTTTCCACCTTTTTCTTTTTCTTTAATGCAGACTCGTTCATGGATATTTCCGTGCTGTGCCTTTGCCCGTTTTTTTCTTATTCTTCCTCCTTTCATCATTCATCCTTCCTTCCTTTCCTTCTTTCATCGCATTTCTGATCTCTTTTTTTTTACTCTTTTTTCTTATTCTTTCATTCCACTCATCCCCTCTTTCATTCTATATTTCTTCCTTCTTCATTCGTGTTTTACGTTGTGGCCAAATTATTCTTCTGCTTGCTTTCTTCCATCCCACTTTTTACTCCCTTTATTATCTCGTTTTTTCTTTCTTTTTTTTATCCTTCTTCCTCCCTCATTTTATCAGTCTTTCCTGCAGACGCATCCTTAGCTACCCTCATTCTTTTGTCTTCCACTTTTCTCTCTTTCTTCCTTCCTTCCTTCTTTTATCCCATTTCCTCAATACATCCTGTCTTATTCATTCATTCCATTCAGCCCTTTCTTCTTTTTTTTATTCTCCTTTCTCCCTCACTGTTTTCTCTCTCCCTTCTGTGTCCATGGCCATCCTCGTGCCGTAGCTGTGGCCAAGTTCTTCCTCTGCTTTCATCTTCCTTCCTTCCCTAGTTATTTCATCTTTTATCCCATTCCTTCCTATTCCCTTATTCCATTTAGCCCTCCCTTTTCTTTTCTCCTTTCTTCCTCACCCTTTTTCTATTTCCTCCTGCAGCGCGCTCATGGCCACCTTCGTGCTGTATTTGCTGGCTAGGTTCTTCGTAATTCTTTATATTCCATTCTTCCTTTCTTCCCTCCTTCTGTCTTCCCATTCCATCCTTGAATCTTTGCCTGTTTCTCCAATTTCATTCAGACTTTTTTACTTTTTTCCTACTCTTCTCTCTCACTTACATTTTTTTTTCTCTCTCTCTTCCTCCTTCACACGCGTCCATGGCCATCCTCGCGCTGTAGCTGTTGGCCTAATGCGTCCTGTTATATCTTCTTACCATCCTTTTTTAATCTTCTAACCCATTCCCTCCTTATACCCTCTCTTATTCCCTCTTTCTCTCTCCTTGTCGCTCATTCACTTTTCTCTCTCTCTTTCTCTCAAGCAGACGCGTCCATGGCCACCTTCGCTAAATGCGTCATATTATTTTGCCTCCCATTCTTCCTTCCTTCTTTAGTAATCTGTCCCATTCCCTCCCTACATCCTTCCTTATTCCCACTTTCTCTCTTTTTCTTTTACTTTCCCTGTCGCTCACTTACTTTTCTCTCTCTCTCTCTCTCTCTCTCTCTCTCTCTCTCTCTCTCTCTCCTACAGACGCTGTACCTGGTGGCCAAAGGCGTCCTATCAATTTGTCTCCCATTCTTCCTTCCTTCCATCCTTCTTTCATATTCAGTCCCATTCCCTCCCTACATCCTTTCTCATTCCCACTTTCTCTCTCTTTCTTTTACTTTTCCTGTCGCTCACTCTTTTTTTTATTTTTCTCTCTCTCTCTCCTGCAGACGCGTCCATGGCCACGCTCGTGCTGTACCTGGTGGCCAAGTTCGCGGAGTCGGCGGCCTTCCTCATCATCTACCCGTTTGCCGCCGAACTGTACCCGACGGAGGTCCGCGGCGTCGGCATCGGGTTCTCGGCCTATGTCGGGGGCTTAGGCCTCGTCATTATTCCGTTTATCAATTATCTGGTAAGTTTGGGTGTGGTTGGGGAGAAGGGGTGGGGGGGGAGGAAGAGGAGGGGGTGGGGGTTTAAGGGGAGGCTGGGAAAAAGGGGGGAGGTGGTTTGGGAAAGCGGGGTTTGGGGAGGAAAATAGGGGTGGGGTGGGGAAGGGGGAGAGGGAGGAGGAGGAGGAGGGGGAAGGGGAAAGGGAAGGGGGGTTATAATAGGTAGGAGTTGTGGAGAGGAGGGGGCGATGCTTACTTGGCATTCCCTTTATAAATGATTCGGTAAAATTGGGAGTGATTATAGTGCTATGCATATTAGTTAAGTTGCAAATATGTGTATGTGTTTGGATAGATATAGACACAGACATAAATATAGATATAGATATAAAATGATTTAGATCACAGCTGTATATGCAAGCGGCCAGGACTGATACAGACACGTATTCCTCATTA